TTGCATTTCAGCGATGAATTTCAGCCATCGGGGCGGCGGGGCCGGGGCTCGCAGGGCTGCGCGCCGCTCCCCTCGCGCGCGCCGCCTCGCTCTCAGCCGGCGCTGGCGGAGCAGCAACAAGTTTTGCATTTCAGCGATGAATTTCAGCCATCGGGGCTGCGCCAATGAGCGCCGCGCCGCCCGGGGCGGGGCTCGCCGTTAAGGTGGCTCCGCCGCGCCGCTCCCCGCCCGCCCCCTCGGCGCGCATCGCCGCGGCACGACCTGGAGCGGCCCGGCTTGGTTCGGCGTGGCCCGGCCCAGCTCGGCGCGGCTCGGCCTGGCTTGGTTCGGCTCAGCCTGGCCCGGCTTGGCCCGTCCCAGCCCGTTTCGGTGCGGGACGTCCCCGCCGGAGACCCAGTCCTGCCCGCCCGCTGCGGTCGCTGGAGCCGGCGGCCGCTCCGGAGCAGCCGGGGCCCGGCAGGCGGCTCTGGTCCCGGCGCGGAGCTCCGCGCCGAGCGCTCAGCCCCTCCGAGCTCAGCGCAGCGGGAGCCGCCCCGCGCCGAGGCCGAGCGCGGCGGAGCCCCGCCGAGCGCAGCGCCCCGTCGGGCCCGGCTGTCCCGGCAGGACCATGGGGAAGAGCTCCGAGCGCGGCCCCTCCGCCCGGGAGCCCCCCCGCGAGGCCCGCGGTTACAGACATCCGGCGGCACCGGGCGCCTCGGGTGCTGGCRGTTCGCACATGTCAATAGTGTAAAAAATAAAAATGAGAATTACTCCCACCAAAAAAATGAGATCTATAAATAAGCGGCCAGGAAGTATTTGTATATGGCAGGAGAGTTTTAAAGGGATTTTTTTTTTGCAGGATCAGGATGCTGCGCTGTGATTAAATATTGATTTTGTGTAATTAGTTTTCATGTGAACTATCCTCCTTGCTGATGGCTTGGAGATTTCAGAACCGGAGAAGAAATGGAATTGGACGTGGAAATTATTACTTAGTGCAGGGCCGGGGGGAGGGCCGAGGTGCCCGGGGTGCCGCGGGGAGGCCGCTCGCTGCGCGGGGCGCTCACAGGAGGCGCCGCCGGGTGCCCGCAGCGCTGCCCCGGGCCTCGCCGCCGGGCCGGGCGCGCAGTGGGCGCAGTTGGTCAAGCCCTGCTCGGCTCGGCCCGGCCCAGCCCAGCTCGGTTCGGTTCGCCTCGGCCCGGCCCGGCTCGGCTCGGCTCGGTCCGGCCCGGCCCGCGGGCGGGCGCCCCCTCTGCGCCTGCGTGCGCGCCGTCGGAGCCGCTTCTTGCGAACGGGCACAGCGCC